TAAATATGTATTTTTAAACAAAATTATTTTACCAAAAATCATTAAAGTATAATAAAAAGAACAGACCCAAAAAATAAAAATAAAATTAATATGGTCTAAACGTTTTCTACCAACTACCTAACATAAATATTGGTAAACACTTTCTTAAACTGATCAATAAACATTTTCATCAGAAAAAACCGTTACATAATATTTTTAACAGAAAAACTTTAAAACTTTTTGTTCCTGCACGAACAATCTTTATAATATTATTGACGCACTCAATAATAATTTATTGAATAAATTTCATAATAACAACCAATTAAATAACAAGCCTTCTTGCAGAACTAAAAGCAATTGCCCAGTTGGAGGTATATGTAAATCTGAAAATGTTGTATATCAAGCAACCATCTTCACAAAAGAGAATAAAAATGATAAACAAGTGTACATCGGAATTTCCGTTAGGAATTGGAAACAGAGAATCTATAATCATAAAAATTTGTTCCTGACACTTTCTTAAACCACCAAACAGTTCTGTCAAAACATTTCTGGAAATTGAAAGATAGACGCTTCACCCGATAGATCGAATGGAACATCATCAATAACTCACAAACTCCTAACAGCTTCAGAAACAGATGGGATTTATGCATGGAAGAAAAAATTAAAATAATTAAGCACGAAAATGCAAACCAATTATTGTACCAGAGAAAATATTAAAAAAAATTGTTTTAAAATAGACATTTATTTTGCGTCAACACTGTAGCTATGCATGTGTATACCTATGTATGTATATGTGTATTGTATATATATATATATATATATATATATATATATATATATATATATATATATATAATAAATATCACATTCACGCTTCACACATCTGTTTCTAAATGTATTTAATCATTTATGTAGATGTCATCGATATGCTTACATCATAGGAAATCTTTTATTACTATATATATATATGTGTGCGTGTGCGTGCGTGTGTGTGTGTGTGTGTGTGTGTGAGAGAGAGAGAGAGACTGTGTGATGGTGTATGTGTTTGTCTATAAGACAATCATTGTAGATCCAGTGTTAGCAATTTAGATTTGTGATGGACGTTAAATTCTTTAAGTAAATATTTGTATATATACTTTGTTTTATTTCGCAACCTTTTGCAGTTTTATTTACAAAATGTTCACTCAGTACAATGCCTATGTTGGGGGTTATTGAGTACGTTTTTGTTATGAACGAAAGATGATATCGTAAGTGCAGAATATGACAATATGTAGAATATATATATAACGGATGACCCTAGACTTGTATTAAAATGATCGGAGAACGAATTAGTCAGAAATATGTTCCCCAATGTAGTTATTCTCGAGAAGTTATCCGAATGTAACATCCTTCTTTTCAATGGAATGCGAAGGAAATGAAGATGATTCGATCTTTTGGGCATGGCATTTTTTTCCTAACTGTGGAAATCTGAACTGGCTGAAATAATAATTGTGGCTCGTTTGAACATTTGCCATGGATATATCAGAGTAATGACAACAATGCGATGTTTCGTAATGAAATGTCAGTTTACTTATATTTATCTAGTGTCCGAGAGGCGACAGAAGAGGATAACAGGTGCGGCAGAATGATTGAAAGACAATCAAAGATTTAGAAATAGTTTTAAAAAATTCACATGCCAAAAATAAATATGATTTCAAAATTTAAAATATTATTATGGATTACTTGTAATTGCATTCATGAGTCCCAGTATATATACTTATAAATATTTTTCACTGATTTTATCATTGTGATATCTTTGCTTTGTATCAAGTATTAAGAGTATAGTAACTTGGATCTGCAAATTGGAGGATGAAATTATCAATAATAATACTCTGACCTCGAATGCGCGGTTATCTCCCTTTAATTTTTAAAAGTACTTTTTATTGCATAAAATTTGGTGAGGCATGAGCAACTTTTCATTCTAAAAATGCGGCCCAAAGAAAAAAGACTTGGGAACACTGATTTAAATTATCTTAAAAATCTATTTAATCCGAAACCAACTATAAAGTTAAATTAAAAGCAAAATTTGTAAAAAGTTAAATTAAACTTTCTGTTGGGATTCGATCTAAATCCCAAATAAATTAACTCTTTTCCGTTTTGTATTACTTATTGGCAAAAATGTTTCTGTTTCTCTAAGACAAATCTTTAATGGCTTCGTCGTGGACTTGACATTCCACCTTGAAGTAAGTCATTTTTTACTCCCTAATTGAAAAAAAAGCAATCTCCATTGTAGATGAGCAATGCATTGGATTTTTGATCAAAACCAAAGGGAAATGGAAAACTGAAATAAAACTTGTTAGAAAAGACAGGAAAAGTGTAATTGCTTTCTCTTGTATTCCGTTGTAAACAAACCTCTTCCTTAAAAGCACTTTGTGATTATTTCTTCTGATGCATTTCATTTCGTTACTTTTCTTTAAGTTCCCGTCAGATTTCTTCATTTCTTTGACTTTTGGCCAAGTCTAAAAGTCCAGATGGAAAGCAAAGATAACTAAGTCTACTTTATATTCATAGAATAAGTATGCTTCCCTTTATCATTTTTGCTTCAGGGACACATTGTTTATTCAGGCAGAAAAAGGTTACAGACCTTTCTAAGTAAGAACTTTGTATGAACATCGACTTCTTGTTTTACCTCAAAAATAAAAGCTAAAAAATAAAGACATAAAAATCTTCGTTAGTAAAACATTTAAATAGTCAGTATATGCTTAGTTCTATGAACGTATGAGTTTGTCTGCCAATACTTGGATGGAGAAATTAATAAGCAACAAAAAAACTTAATTTTCCGTATCAGTAATTTTATTTGGTAAATGTTCAGCGGGAAATATTGGGCTGTCAATTTAGAATTTACTTGGAACATCTAACTTATTTTTAACAAAAAAATCAAAACAGTCGTTGGGTAACGGGGGAATTTTCACTAATATTTTATTTCTGGCTTCGCGAGAAACAATAAAGTTAAAAATTTGTTTTCAGTGGTATGCTCAAATATACATTATTTTTGAGATAACGATAAATTTTTTTTTATATATCAAAAACGATACTGGAAAACTGGAAAAAAGTTTCTTTTAACGCGTTTTGACTTTTGGACTAAATTTGTTGGTGCTAATACACATGCGCACGAACGAAGGATGCTGGGAATTTAAAGTTTGATTTTTTTTTTTAAATCTGGCCGATTTCATTTAGATTTTTTCTTTTCTTCACCTTTGATAATAGAAGTTCTTCTAGGAAAGTTGAAATGTTGTTTCAGCCAGGGCGCAAATTTACTGTGGATGACCTTGAATCAAGGCACTCTCGAGACATTTTCGAGGTACTGAATTGTTTTCTCCATTGATCGGAGTAGCATTTTTTGTCAAAATTGTGGTCAGTTTCGTCACGGTTGGCAACCAACGTAATTTATGTATTGTTTCGTAAAATGCCTCTTTTGTGTCCATATATTCATTTATTTAAATTCCTTGAGATTTCTCCAATCTATTTTTGTGACAATTATTATAGGCAATGGAGTAAACTCCTCTTTCCGTTTTTAGTTTATTGTTTTGTTTAGAATTGACTAAGTCTTTTATTGCTGGCAGTGTGGGTTATCTACTGACAAAAGTGATGGAAAAGAAAAGAATCTACTTGAAATCGGCTACATTTTAAAAAAAATAGTAAAAATTTAAATTCACAGCGAGATGTTGTGAATTTAAATTTTTAGTATTTTCTTTGAATGTGTAGTCGCCCCAACATAACAAATTTAGTTTGATGAAGTCCTAAACGACGAAACGTGTTACAAGAAAACTTTTTTTCCACTTTGTCATTAATTTTTCCCCACATTATTTTTGGTAACTTCAACTGATTTTACATTTAATCATTATAAAAAACGATTGTATGTTGAATAAATAAATTACATATGATTCTCTTTAAGAAATATCCTTCTTGGGTTCAGCTTCCAATTGTTCCTTGATTACAATCGCTGCTTTTTCTATCAGTAACTAATCAGTTTAGCGATTAAGTGTTAGAAAAACCCCGCTTCTGGGAATAAAGTTGCCTTCCCACACACAGTATTGGAAATAAATAAATACACACGTTGCATTTTTATGGAAAGTCAAAACTTTCTGTCAAAACGTATATTATAATGTAAATTTTAAATAATGAAATTCTTTTGAAAAATTTCTTTAAATTCAAAAGTTGACATGACGAAAATTGAGAGGAATGTCTTGGAATACTCGACGACATTTATTTTATTGCGCACAGGCATACCAAATTTCGGTCTATTCTGAGAGTTTGCAGTCTTTCAAATCATTCTAGTTGGATTATCGGGGTTCTTTTGCTTTCAGGTTTAGTATAGTCTGCAAGTGCTCTGTTGGATTCAGTCCGGCGATGTGTTCTTGGATGTTCGCTATGCTGAAATGAAACCCATCGTCACTAGCATTTGAATGAGCATGATATGTTTGCTTTTATTATGTTACCATAATATTCAGAAGTAATTATTCTTCGATTAAGAGAAATTAACAGGCAATATTACAGCTCATACAAACTTAGACCTTCTTGTAAGCTTTAACATAAAAACACATTGGATGACATCAAAGTTAAATGCATACTTTTTTGTTTCATATGACCATAACCAGCTGTACAAATGTTCGTTATTATTTTGCTGCTCATATTTTGAATAAATAAATTTGTATCTCAATTAAAATGATTGCTTTCTAAGTCGTCGCTGGGGATGTAAGCTAACCTTCTTCAGTGTACTTTGAGTGATTTATGATGAAATTTTATCGCTGCAGGATTTCTCGTGTTTATATCAATCAACTTCCTGACAGAACAAAGCATATCTTGCATATTCGAAATGATCGCTTTCCGTCATTTTTACATTTTTTCGGGGGGCGGGGTGTGCGGGTGGGTCTTCCAGTATTGAAAATAGTCTTTTTGCACAACAGATTTTAGCTATTGTTCTATTTGCGGGCAAAATGGATTCTCAGTAAATCAGAACCCTAGTTCTTTTCCATGTGAACCCCGTTCCCGTACAATCACCGAAGTTAAGCAACGTCCAACCTGGTCAGTACCTAGATGGGTAACCGCTTGGGAATACTAGGTGCTGTAAGATTGAATGTATGCGGGTGGTGATAAATGACGTCTCGTAATTGTTCATCGGGGTGCCAAGTTCCAATTCCAGTTAAGTTCCTTATATTAACTTACGCGCAAATACTCTTGGGAAAGGCATGAATCCACTTCTCCCTTCAGCTATGGGTTAATTAGTAAGACATGAATTACTAAACCGTTATCATAATAGAAAAATAAATAAATAAATAAACTTGTGTACAAAATATTTAGATTTCGGTATTTAAGATACCATAGAGTTACTGTTATGCCGCTAAACAAAAACAAACATCAATGTAGACCCATAAGGAAACTATCCATCTCCGAATTAAAGAACATGACTTTAAATAAAACTATTTTATCATTGCTCTGTTTATATCTGAAAGTGATATTAAATGTAGTAATCAGGAATGTTTTAAAAATGCAGGGTGCATAAGGTATTTGAGGACATGTGATTGTGCGCCTGCAGTTACGTGATAATCGATTAATATGCCTTTATATTTTCAGAGCACCAATGGTGAACTATCAGCAAACGCACGAGATGAAACGACATGCCGTAATTGTTGCGATACACGCAAAGCACAGCGATGGTGAGATTGCACTTTTTTTTCTTTTTTTTTTCTTCTTTGAAGTCGCTAAGCCATTTGTGCGCAAAGTTCGCAAGGAGGCGGAAGCCTTCAGCGGAAATGTGTCACCTGAAGTGAGGCGTAGAAAGCATTCACAGTGTTAAAACAGGATCAGGATACCAAGATTCGCCGGTAAAGCGGGTGAAGAACATTATCGAATGCGAATCCAGTGAGGTTCGTTGCCAGAGATCTCTAGGTGTCCGAGTTCACAGTCCGCATGACGACATTCAGTACAACTCATACGGGACAGGGAAAAGACAGTCCATGTTGGTACATACAAACAAGAACAACGGGTATTTTGAGGTAAAATGATTGCCGAGCAAAATTGAAACAACTAGAAGAACCCGGCAGGTTTCTCTTTTCTTTTTCTTTTCTTTTTTTTTTTGAAGAAAACAAATTTCACTATGGAACAAAACGTTAACTGGAGAAATCACATGTTTTGTGTGAACTTTAGTTATAATTAATATTCTATTATGTACGTTTTAATTGTGTAATGTTTCACCGTCAATTAAGTACCATACGTGATACATGTTTGGGCGATTATATCCCATTCGATAAATGACTGACGAGGCAGAAAACATTTCCGCAGTCGGCTGCCATTTCTTTTTTTTTCTTTTTTTTTTTTTCGTAGTCTGTCAGCAAATGCTATAAAATCTTACCAACGGTATTTCTGCTTAAGTGAATGTAACTAACTCGATTGGAATTTGAACTTGGCTCTTATTCAGAACCGAGATCCATTAAATCACAACGCACATCATCCGAAATCTGAAAATCATGTTATCTTTTGTTAAGAAGAAAGTTTATATAAAAATTGATAAGGAACACATTTACTCGTTGTTGTGTTCAAACGGAACGGTATAACAAAAAGAAGTCATCAGAGGATTTTCAAGATTTGATGCAGGCAATAATCCAGAATTTCATCCACCGTGGCTCAATTTCACATTTGTTTTACAGTAATGACCAGTGGTCGTAGGTTTTCAGTTGATATTTCCATTTCTTCGACATATATATTGAATTAATTGCAGAGAAAGCTGGCTCACTTGGTCGAGCTAGACAATTTTTCTCGCCAGAATCTATCTGATACATTTATAAGTCTACCATTCGTTCATGAATTGAATATTATTACCAAATCTGGTCTGATGCTCCTGCTATATATTTAAAGATTCTTGATAGAATCCAAAAGAAAATCTGCAAAGTTACTTGTCCTGACCTGGCATCTCGGCTTCAGTCACTTTCCCAACGTCGTAACGCAGCTTCCCTGTGTCTTTTGTATAAATAATTGTTCTGATGAACTTTACTCTATGGTACTTAGACTTTATGAATTTAAACTCAGTATTAGATTGGCGGTTAGGTCTCATGATTTTAAGTTGAACTGACTAGATGCAACCGTATGCTAACAGTTTCTTCTATTGCAATTTTCGCTTCCAGCTTCTTGCTTTCCAGCCAACTTTGATGTTCAAAAATATAAATGCAATGTCAATCGTTATCTTCTGTTTTCTTAATTCATGTTCTTTTATTGTCTTCTCTGACACAGCCCTAGTGTCTATTGCCTTGCTTGATGTGACATGATTAAAAGAATATGGGCATGTGTCCTTTTCGGATTTATCACTTCTCTGAAAATACATTTCAACAGCATAATTGAAATGAGTGGATTAAAGTTCTTTTTCAAATTTAACCGTAAAAGAACGTAGTTAATTTATTGATATTTTATTTTGTTTTTAATTCAATATCGTATAATTCCTAAAAATTTTCAATCCTCTTTCTCCTCCTTCCACCTCGCTATTCCAGAATTATTGTTTTGCATATTGGTTAACCCATCGATCTATGATTGCAAAAAATGCAACTCAGTTCCAGAAAGCAATACTAGACCCTAAAATCAATGCCTACTTTTAACATGTTTTGTATTGAGAAATACAAACGATTGTGCTTACAAGCTCAGCTCACACATTACAAAGAGTTTTATCCATGTAAAATGTTTATGTATATATAGGATAATAATAGTAATAACAACAACAACAACAACAATAATAACAATAATAATAATTTCAAAAGGGAATTTCAAGTAGTTGAAGAAGTGCAAGTAAATCGTAATGTAATTACTGCAACGGAAAATAACCTATAAAAGAAGGCAAAAGCAAATGCAATGGACCAAATGCAGAAACAATGGCAAGATATGCCTCTTCATGGTGAATACTCTGCTCCTACCAAAAAAGCTGATGTAAATAAACCTCGTACTCATCAGTGGTTATGTAGCTTAGAGTAAAGAGCTAGAACTGAAGGTTTTGTTCTAGCTGCACAAGAGGAATGCCTACTAACTTGGAATTACCAAGCACACGTACTGAAAAATTGTGTCAAGCCGAAATGCATATTCTGTGATAAATATCCAGAAACAATTGACCATCTTGTATCAAGTTGCGCGGTATTGGCACCCACTGAATATAAAACCTGGCATATGACAGAGTTGGCCAATAACTGCATTGGAAAATATGCAACTTTTACGGAAGAGAAAATGCAAGGAATTGGTATGAACACCAGAGCCGGTTCCAGAGATAGGACCTGTAGCAATTTTATGGGACTTTACAATACACACAGATGGAAAAATCAAAGCTAATCGCCCAGACATTAGTGATCAGAGGCCATAAAAACAGAATGTTACCGCATCACGGAACTTTGAATGTGATACCTTTCTTTATCAGAATGGATTCCATAGAATGTTTATAGGGCTTCGTATATTCGTACATCAGTCATTTAGGAAACTCAATAATAATAATAATAATAATAATAATAATAATAATACAGCTCACATCTTACGAAAGTCTTTATCTATGTAAAATGTTAGGCATCTTAGCTGGTCTGTTTTTTTGTTTTTTTTACAAAATTGCTCAGTGGAAAGAGGTGTGGTGTTCAATACTTTTCCTGAGACTCCATGCGCAACTTTATCAGAAAACAATAAACTGGTTTTACCCATTTTTCTCCATGTCTGTTCATTTATGATAGAGATATCAGATCCTGTATCTAGTTGGAATTTTATTTTTACGTCATTAATTTACACAAAAACAGATTTCCTCTTTTGAGATGTCTTGTTAATTTCCCTTTTAATCTTTACTCCATTTATTTGTCATGTTCGCATGCCTTTTATTTTTTCTCCACTCTGCAATACGTACATCTGTGTCCTAATCTCCCACATTCATTATGTACAAAACCGTAGCAAGTATTCGGTATTGAGAGGGTTTATAGTCTTTTTTACTGGTCTGTTAGACGTTTGTAGTTTTTTTTTCTCTTAGATAGTCAGATAGTATGTACCTGTGAATTTCACTTTTTCCACCATCCTTGCCGTATCGACTTTCAAATTCACAATACGTTGACATTCTTCCTCTATTTTTCTGGAGAGTTAATTTGGAATCCATTTCTAATTTAGCAAATGTCCTGGATCTTATCTCCGCGTCCTTATTAGATGTTAAATCCTGTACGAATATCAGGCATTTAAATAAATTAGGAGTTAATTCATTTAACTTGAACTTTTCACATTCTCGATTCACAACAACTGCATAAGTGACAAAATCTTCATCGTCGAATTTTTTTACGACATTGCCATCGTGTATTAAATAATGAACTTTTATCACCAAAAAAAAATAATTGATAATATTAGAACAGTCTCATTAAAATTTATCTCTACTGGTTTTTTTTTTAAAGATATAATTTACATATTTTTCATGATCAGCAGGGGACAATTTCTGTAATAAAAACCGGACTTTCTTTTTATCATTCCAATGTGAACATTCCCTTTTGATGATCCCTTCGTATATTCTATTAGCTAGAAAAAGTTATCCCTTCCTCTGATTGTACATAAATTCGCTGATTGAATTAGCAACAGCATCTGGAGTAAATGAATCTGAATTTTTTCCTTTCATCGTTTTGTTAAACAACACAAAAGACTTCTGTTGCTGTAATTGTAAATGTTGTTCATGTTGTTGTTTTTGTTGCTGCAAGTGGTGTTCTGGTAGTTTTTGTTGCTGCAACATTTGAACCATGATAGTTTTTAATTATTCCATTCTGCTGTACTCTGCTGAATATTTTGAAGATTAATTTTTTCCTCGTGTAAATTGAACGAATCCTCGTGTAAGTTGAAGAAATCCTCGTGTAAGCTCAAGGAATCCTCGTGTAAGCTCAAGGAATCCTCGTTGCCAGTTTTGTGATGTCAACGAACTCTTGTTGCCACTTATGTAATATCAACGAATACTCGTTGTCACTTTCGTAATGCTTGTTGTAATAGAGTCTTTGTAATTGCAGATACAACTATAGTAACGCCGTTGAACAATACTGATGTCAGACGGTTTAGAATAACACTTGCACTAATAGTACTTGCTCGATAATACCC